GCATTCCTGGGATATAAAGTTGGTTTAACATATGCAAATCAGTAAATGTGATTCACATCATCAACAGAATTTAAAGCAAAAGCCATATGATCATCTCAATCAGTGCAGAAAAATCTTTTGATAAAATCCAACATCCCTCTATTATTAAAAAATAAAACTTTCTATAAACTAATGATCAAAGGAACACACCTCAAAATAGTAAGAGCCATCTTTGCCAAAACCACAGCCAACATCACATTGAATGGGCAAAAACTGGAAGCAATCCCCTTGAGAACTGGAACAAGAGAGGGATGCCCACTCTCACCACTCCTATTCAACAAAGTACTGGAAGACCTTGCCAGAGCAATCAGGCAAGAGAAAGAAATAAAGGCATCCAGATAAGAAAAGAAGTCAAATAATTTCTCTTTACTGATGCTATAATTCCATACCTGGAAAATCCTAAAGACTACCAAAACGCTCCTGGAACTGATAAATGACTCCAGTAAGCTTTCAGGATACAAAATCAATGTATAAAATTCAGTAGGATTTCCATACACCAATAACTAAGCTTTCAGGATACAAAATCAATGTACAAAATTCAATAGGATTTCCATACACCAATAAATTTATAGGTGACAGCCAAATCAAGAATGCAATTCCATTTACAATAGCTGCAAAAAAAAAAAAAAATGAAAAGAAAAAACCCTATAATACATATAACCAAGAAGGTGAACTACATCTCTACCAGGGGAACTACAAAACACTGCTGAAAAAATAAACATAGATGACCAAAATTAATGGAAAAGTATTCCATGCTCATGAATTGGAAGAATCAATATTGTTTAAATAGCCATACTGCTCAAAGCAATCTACATATTCAAAACTAATCCTATCAAGCTACTAACATATTTTTTCACAGAACTAGAAAAACAGAACCCAGAATTAAGCCACACACCTACAGCCATCTGACCTTGGCAAGTCAACAACAAAAAAGCAATGATGAAGAACTCCCTATTCCATAAAAGGTGCTGAAATTGCTTATTACACACCATCCAGTTCCTTCAGAAGAAGATGTTGACTTTATTTTGAATAAAGCATGTAATTACCTGAGCTGAAATATTGAAGTGAGAAGAGGGGACATCCTGGCAGTGTGGAATGGTATCCATCCCCTTTTACAGATCCCAAATCTGCAGATACTCAGTCTAGCTCCTGAAATCATGTTGTCGATATCAGTGAGAGTGGCCTTATTACTATAGCAGGTGGAAAGTGGATAACATACTGGTCTCTTGCGGAAGATACCATAAATGCTACTAGGAACACTCACAATTTGAAAGCAGGAACAAGTAGAACAGCTGGGCTTTTCCTTCAGGGGGATAAAGATTGGAGCCCCACACTCTACATTAGGCTTATCCAGGATTATGGACTTGAAAGCGAGGTGGCACAGCATCTTGCTGCCACCTATGATGATAAGGCTTTTGAGGTGGCCAAAATGGCAAGTGTGAATGGCCAAAGGTGGCCTATTGTTGGAGTATGTCTTGTGTCAGAATTTCCATATATTGAAGCAGAGGTGAAACATGGGATTAAGGAGTATGCCTGCACCACTGTGGATGTGATTTCACGTCATACTCGCCTGGCCTTTCTAAATGTCCAGGCAGCAGAGGAAGCTCTACACAGGATTGTTGAACTGATGGACACAGAACTGAATTGAGACAATTATAAGAAAGAGGAACAACTAGAAACAGCCAGGAAGTTTCTATCTTATGAAATGGACTATAAATCTTGATCAGTAACAGTCAACAGATCGCTATGAAATTAGCCTATTGCCTTCAGACATTGACAGGTATAAGAGATTTTCTAAGTTTGATGCAGACCAGAAAGGCTTTATTACCATTATTTATGTTCTGTATGTATTAAAGAGTATCAATGCCCAGATGGATGAAAATACACTCCATGAAATTCTAAATGAAGTCAACTGGAATAAAAATGGACAGGCTGAACTCAATGAATTTTTGCAGCTGAGTGCTGTTTAAAAAGGAAGGGTGTCTGGAAGCCAGCTTGCTATAGTAATGAAAACTGCAGAAGAGAACCTAGACCAAAGAGTCCAGTTCCAGTGGACCACAGTTACAGCAGGGACCAGGCTTAGAATGTGACTGACCTAGGCAGATCTGTGTTTGTTAAACAGGCCTTGTTTGTGCATGCTTTGCTATGAATGAAGTTCCTTTAAGGACAAAGAAAAGCACACTTTTCTTTTTTGAGCATATTTGTTCTTACTTAAAATCTGCTAAATTCTAAAACATACAGTCCTTCACCAATCTCAGAGACTCATTTGGAAATAAACTGATTTCAAGCCGTTATAAAGAACCCCTGCATTTTGTATAAATTCTTAATTAAACCTATACAGCTTCCTTACCTGATTTAAGAAAGGGGGACAAGAAATAGAGGGGAATGAGCTTTGAAATTCATTCCAAACACAAAAGGTTTCCCTTAGCATATAAACTTGACATTAGTTGACCCTGTTGGGGTCCAGGTGGGTATGCAGGGATTGCCTTTTATTATCAAGCGATTTATTTCAAGAGCCTTTAAGGGGATTCAGATGAAGGAAACCACATCTGTGCTGGAGAGTTGGATACTCCTTTAAATAGCTCTCACCAGTCATAATAATGATACTGCTGGATTATTTGTTAAGCCAAGGTTGTCTGCCTCATATCCATCATGCTGTTTGCAGTATTCTTTCAATCAGTGTATACTTGAGTGTAACTTTAGGATTTCTGCTATTAAGCGCGTGATCCCTATTCTGCTTCAGTTTCTGGCTTTGCTTCTTTCTGTTTCAAAATATGTAGCTTCCTCTTTTGTACAACAAAAACTCATTCTCACTTTTGCTAAATATACTGTAAGAATTATCATTGATTTCATTTTTCTTATGCATCTGCAAAGATTTTTGGCATATGAATGTAATACTGAAGTTAATGATGCTATAACTTGCAATGTTTGCTTCATGTCAACCTTTTTTAAGGGGTGAAAAAGCCCTACTGTTTTTAAAGAATGGCAAGTGTAAGCTCAGCACTAGGTGAATATACACACTGCATGTGTGCATATGTGGTACTTTTATGTGTTGTGTTGGGTTATTGTTCTAGATTGGACTGTTAAATACTATGTGTGAGGCTGGGTTGCCATTTTCATAACTGTCTTGGTGTTTTATGGCCATTAGTTATTACTTTTGATGTTCAGAATGAGCTACATGCATTTATAGACCCAAAAGAGGATGTATTTAATGTGCCTTGTTTTTAACTGAATAAGAACTGGAAGCATGAATCAATAAAACTGATTAAAATGGTAAAAAAAAAAAAGCTGGTGAAGTGTTAATGTTTTTCTTTAAAACACATGCAGCACACATGCACACACACACTCACACTTACACCATCCAAATGGTGTATCTAAATGGAGCTGTGGTAGTGAGGGCTCTGGGCAATGGAATCTTACCCCAAATGTGCAATGCTCTGTTTTGGACATAGTGATGCCCTTTTTGTTTATTTCAGATATAAAACAATGCAGGCTCTGTCCTGAAAATCATTATCCAAACAAGAAAAAGGAACACTGCCTTCCCAAACAGGAGACCTTCCTGGCCTATGATGAACCTTTGGGCCTGGCTCTGGCATGCACAGCCTTGTCCTACTCTGCCCTCTCTGTTCTGATCCTTGTGGTGTTTGTGTGGCACTGAAACACTCCTGAGCTACGCCCTCCTTGTCTCTCTCATGTTCTGCTTTTTCTCTTCCTTGCTCTTCATCGGCCGCCCCAACCCTGCCACCTGCCTCCTCTGACAGACCACCTTTGCAGTTATGTTCACAGTGGCTGTGTCTTCTGTTTTGGTGAAAACCATCACTGTGGTCATAGCCTTCCAGGCTAAAAGGCCAGGAAGCAGGATCTGAAAGTGGATGAGTCACCAGAAATTCTTTCTGTTGTCTTCCTTTGCTCCTTTATCCAAGTGACCTTCTGTGGAATCTGGCTGCGGGCATATCCTCCCTTCATAGACAAGGACCCTCAGGCCATGCCTGGCTACATGATCATCCAGTGTAATCACTGCTTTCTATTCTATATTGGGCTATGTGGGCTTCTTAATTTTGGGGACCCTTGCTGTAGCCTTTCTGGCAAGGAACTTGGCTGATGCTTTCCATGAAGCCAAGTTCCTCACCTTCAGCATGCTGGTGTCCTGCGGTGTCCTGCAGTGTCTGGGAGGCCTTCCTCCCACGCTACCACAGCACCCAGGGCAAGGCCACAGTGGCCATGAGATCTTCTCCATCATGGGCTCCAGCACTGGGTTACCTGGCTGCATCTTTGCTCCCAAGTGCTATGTGATCCTCCTCCATCCAGAAAGGAACACTCTTCAGTGTTTAAATAAGCCTAGGGCACACATGGTGGCTCACGCCTGTAATCCCAGCACTTTGGAGGCCAAAGTGGCTAGATCGCTTGAGCCCAGGAATTTGAGACCAGCCTGGGCAATGTGACAAAACCCCATCTCTACAAAATATACAGAAATTAGCTGCAGGTGGTGGCATGCGCCTGTAGTCCCAGCTATTCAGGAGGCTGAAATGGGAGGTCAAGGCTACAGGGAGCTGAGATCACACCACTGCACTCCAGCCTGGAAGACAGAGCGTGACTTGGTCTCAATAAATTAATAAATAAGCCCAAAAAACCAGAAAAAGACCAAACAATAAACAGACTGAGAACGACTGTAATGATCATTAGTGGTAGAGAATTTGTAACCTAATTGAAGAAAGCATACCTGAAAATTAATAAAGATTGAACTAATTGAAAAAAATGGCAATGAAAGATAGGAAATTTACAGAGGCAAAACCTGAATATCCAGTGAATAATAAAAGGATTCTGGCTGGCTCAAAGGTAGTGAGTTTTACCAACTGATTGTCCACAGTCAGTCACAGAGCAAATTCCTTGTTCTACTCTTTCACCCCTCCTCACTAATGCACTTGACTAGTCATTAATGAAGGAAAAAAAAGGATGCTAAGCCTAATTGATAGTCAAAAATTCAAATTTAAAAAACAAAATCGTTAATTACTTCTCACTACAATGACAAAAATTACAAATCTGTAATCACTAAGTGTTGATTGGGATGTGGAGCATAAAGAGAGGTCTGTGAAGATGCTAGAACTACTGACTAGGATTTTAGCACCGAAATCAACCTCAAAGTTCAATTGTGCACCCTTTGGTTACGTTACAGATGGTGCCATGCTGGGCCACAGAGCTTGCCCCAGGTCCCGAAGCAAAATGGCAGCGCCTGGACTGGAAGTTCATCCCCATCAATTTTCCTTACGGAATCTCAGGGCTCAGTAAAGAACGATGATTGACACAGTCACACAGCAACTGGTGTGACAGGGACAGGTTTCCGGAATTCCAGTGTCTTAATACCAAGCCCTTGTAGCATTTCTCAGAGAGAACAAAACCGTTGGTCTTGTGTGCTCAGAAGAAAGCTTAGTGGTCATAAAATCCGATACATACAACTTGCAGATCAACACACCAAGACTCTGGAGGAAGTGAGGGCGGTAACTTGTCCAAATCTCCAAAGAAAAGGTAAGAATGGTGATCATGAAATCTGCTGACACTTAAGTGGTCACTGTGTGCCGGCTACTGCTCTGAGGTTCCCTTAATTCTCACAACAACCCCTACATTTTAACATCAAATTCTAACATCATCCTCACTTTACCTCTGGGGAAACTGAGACACAGGGTGTCTTTCTCTCTTGCCTGAGGCCCTAATAGTAAGGGAGCAGAGGAGGGGCTCCAGACACTATTTCACAAAAAGGGAAACCGAGGCCCAGAGAGGGTGAAAAGTCACCGGCTCATCCTCTCCGGAACGAGTGGTACTGGGTAGGTGGCCTCAAAGACATAGCTTGACTCAGAACCCACAGCCCCTTCAACTCAGCTTTCTCCCCTCCCATGGGCGGCTGTGAAGTCACAGGGGAACTGGGAGGGGCCGTTACCATGGAGACTGGCCCATTCAGAAACAGGGTGGAAACTGGGAGTTGCCCTCATGTCCCGAGCCACCACTTTGGAGCCAGCATTTTCGGTCTCGGAAATGAGACCCAGAGCGCCTCGCGCGAGCAGCCCCAACTTCTCCGCAGGCGACATGCGGCACCGCCCGCGTGACGGAAACACCCGGACCCCAGGACTTCACAGACGCAGAATGAGGGCCGAGCCGCCGCAATGCGCGTGTGCAACTCTGTCCTGGCCTTGTGGCATCTCCACCAATCGGAATCCTGCTTTTTGCCTGGCCCCGCCTTATCCCCAGACTTCCGGTGTCTCGCTGGCTCCAACACAACCTTAAAAGTGGAGGACTCGGCAACTTGCAGAGACTTCTGGGTATTGTAGTCTCAAAGGTGCAGAGCAACAGGAGGAGCACGTTTCAGTAAAAAGAAGCTTGGAATACAAATGCCTACACCAGTGATGACTTGGCGGGTTGGAAACGCTTGTTAGATGCTTTCACCAGCTGTTATTTATGGGGAAAGCAGGAAGGGAGGAGAAGGAATGCGGTCGCAGAGGCTTCTGGGAGTTCAAGTTCAGCCGACGGAGCAAGGGCTGCGACCCCCGCCCCGGATCCGGAAGTGGTCGCCGAGGCCTCCTAGCAGCCAATGTGAATGCGGGAAGTCCCTGATCCAGGCGTCCCGCTCTCCCCGGCCCCGCTCTCCAGGTCCTACCACGATGACTGACTCGTTTGCGGCTTTGGGACCGGTTGTAGGGGGCTTGACCGTCACTAGTAGACGTTTCTGATTGTGTCGCGGTCACCATGGTAACGACTTTCGCTTCCCTTCCGCCCTCTATGGTGACGTCATTGGAGGAGGCCGGGCTGGGGTGGCTGGGGGGGGGACAGGGAGTGCGCATGCGCCTGGGGCGAGGAGGCGGGAGGAGGGGAGATCCGTGGGAGGACCGAGCTCAGGGGTGGGATTGGAGGAGTTCCCGTGACCTTCCGGGTTGTTTGTGCGGAGGGGCAGCTTTATTTAAATAATAATATGCGTGCAGGCGACCTGCCTGATTTCTGGCGGCGTGCTTTCTAGTAAGTGCGCAGAGACTTTTCGCAAGAATTGATTGACTCTTTTCCCCTTCCTTCCCGATTTTTGGTTGGAAACCCAGACTTTGTTTCACGCCTGTCGCCAGGTTAACTAGGTCACTGTTTGCTCTCAGGAGCAACCCTTCCGCCCGCAGTTCGCTTGGTCCTTGATTACAGGTTCGTGCTGTGCATTCATTCATTCAGTGAGTGCCGAATAAGTGCTAGTGGCCAAGGATACAGCGGCGAGCTCGGCAGCCGAATGGCCTCAGATCTTAGGAGTTTCTCAGTACCAGGGTTATTAACACTGGGGGCTGACATTGCTTTGTTGTGGGGGGCTGGCTGCCCTGTGCGTTGTAGGATGTCGAGGATCTTCCCTGACCTCCACCCACTGGATGCCAGGGAAAATCCTCTCCAGCCTCCAGCTCCCTGGTTGTGACAACCAAAAGTGTCTCCAGACATTGCCGAATGTCCTCTGGGGGCTGAAGTCAGCCTACTGAGAACTACTGCCCTAAAGGTTTTCCTGAACACTCTTCTATACCTTCTTATAACTTGGCCACCCAGTAAACTCTCACCAGCTGGTTGAAATCTCATATGGATGTCTGGACGTGATCTGACACATTAATTTCATTTTAAATCAAATTTAAAAGCATTCCCACCATCAAAGGGAAGGGATGATTAAATGTACAAAGGCCATTAATGGTATGCAGGAGAAGTTACAAAAAACTAACATCAAGCACCTGGGCATATAATAATCTGGTTAGCATATAAAACCTTCTAATGATAAATGAATTTATAAAGCTAGTTTAAAACTTAGTTACTACTGGGTTCCACCAAAATAAAATACATCATTTTTGCCTACGTTATCTATGGAGGGATTGGCATTCTCTTCTGATATGGTTTGGCTGTGTCCCCACCCAAATCTTATCTTGAATTCCCACATGTGGGAGGGACCCGTGGGAGGTAATTGAATCATGGGGGCAGGTCTTTCCCATGCTGTTCTTGTGATAGTGAGTAAGTCTCACGAGATCTGATGGTTTTTTATAAAGGGGAGGTTCACTGCACAAGCTCTCTTCTCTTGTCTGCCGCCATGTGAGACGTGCCTTTGACCTTCTGCCATGATTGTGAGGCCTCCCCAGCCACGTGAAACTGTAAGTCCATTAAACCTTTCTTTTGTAAATTGCCCAGTCTTGGGTATGTTTTATCAGCAATATGAACACAGACTAATACAGCTTACATCTGTCTGTCATCAACTTACTGGGTGGTTTCCGTGGCTTTTAGCAGTTTCTTTATTACATTTTAAAGGATCGTTTGCACATGAATTGCTATAAGAAAAGACAAGAGCTTCCTATGAGCTGTTATGCAAACACAGCCATATCAACTCAGTCAGAATGTTACAAATAAAAGATCATAATCATAGCAGCAGTAGTAACAGTAACTGGTGCTAGCAGGCATGGTATGCTGACAATGCCTGAGCTATGGTTTTAGGATTTCTGTGGACACTGTCTTTAATTCCCACAGTGACCGTATGAAATAGGTACAGTGTGCATCCCCATTTAACAGAGGAGGACATGGAGACACAAGTAAAATAAGTGCAGCTGAAGAGTGGAATATTTTTTATTTTACATTTTTAATTTTGAGATAATTTTGTATTTACAGAGAAGTTGCAATGATATAGTACAGAGCATTCTTATGTATCCCTTTCCCCGCTTCCTCTACTGTTAACATCTTATGTAATCCTAGTAGATGTGTCAAAACTGTAATATTGCCACAGTACTGTTAACTCCAGACTTTGTTCACATTTCCCCAGTATTTCCTTTAAAGTCCTCTTCCTGTTTTGGGGTCACATGTGGGACACCACATGACGTTTAGTTGCCATGTCTTCCTGCCCTCCTCTGATCCGCAGCAGTGTCTCTGACTCTCCTTGTTTTTGATGACCTTGACAGTTTTGAGGAGTACCGACCGGGTGTCCTGTAAAATGTGTTTCCATTTGGAATTGTCTGATGCTTGCTCATGACTAGACTTGGGTTATGGGGAAGGATGACTTTAAAATTTTTTTTTAATTTTAATTAAAAATTTTAAATTGATACTCGGTTCAATTATTAGACAATCTTTAACCCATGTTTGGAAAAATCTGGATATGTGAATCTCCTTTTTAACTATAAATGTTAGAAAATGTAATTGCAGATCAATTTTAGCATTCAAATTGAGATGTGCAATAGGTGAAAAATACACAATGGATTTCAAAGACTTAATACAAAAAGAAGGATATAACGGATCTCATTAACAATTGTTTATATTGATTACTTGTTGAAATGTATCTTGGGTATATTGAATTAAATCGTACGTATTGTTCAAATTTATTTTACTGGTTTCTGGGCTAGCAGGAAGTGTGAAATAAATGTAGCTCACAGATTTTTATTGGCTAACACTGCCCTAACTAGTAGCAATACATTAATTGAGAAATATGTGCCAGGCACTGTGTTTTAGAAATACTATCTCATTTAGAACACATGGACACAGAGGGGGAACAACGCACACTGGGGCCTGTCGGGGTGTGGGGTTGCGGGGAGGGAGAGCATTGGGAAAAATAGCTAATGCATGCTGGGCTGAATACCTACGTGATGGATAAATGGGGCAGCAAACCACCATGGCACATATTTACCTATGTAACAAAACTGCACAGCCTGCACATGAACCCCGGAACTTAAAAAAAAAAATTATCTCATTTAAACTTTATGAGGCAAGCTCAGTAGACTGTTCCTTAAACTCCACTTTTGAATGATTCCTGGGGTAAAAGAAGATGCCATGCCTCTATGCAATATACCAACTGATGCTTCAGGCTCACCGAACGCCCCTGGCTAGTACAGTGCTTCATTCTTCTCTGTAGGTTCAGTTGTGTGATTACCAAGAGCTGGTTGTATTTATTCTAAACCTTTTCATTGTAATAGATTTTATTTCAATTATGTAATGCAATTATATTTAACATAAATGAGGAAAATATGAGAACGTAGGCAAATAATATTTTCCATCAAAACAATAATTCAGTGGGAAAGATGCAATAAAGGCTGATTGTTAATAAGAGCAACAACAAAAAATATGTGACGTTGGAATAGGCAAGATGGCTACTGGGATAATCTTTTTCTTTTTTTTTTTTTAAGTAGTGAGGATTTTGCTTAAATAGCTTTGGAAGGATGCCTGTGTCTCTACTGACCTTTTAAGGGACAGACTGGAAATTGTAGGTCCATAGACAGGTACAACAATAACAACAACAAAAAACCCTGATATTGTATCAAAAGATTGGCAAATTAGTGTACAATTTTATATTTTAAAACAAAATGGGCTGGGCGCGGTGGCTCACGCCTGTAATCCCAGCACTTTGGGAGGCCGAGGCGGGTGGATCACAAGGTCAAGAGATCGAGACCATCCTGGTCAACATGGTGAAACCCCATCTCTACTAAAAATACAAAAAATTAGCTGGGTATGGTGGTGCGTGCCTGTAATCCCAGCTACTCGGGAGGCTGAGGCAGGAGAATTGCCTGAACCCAGGAGGCGGAGGTTGCGGTGAGCCGATATCGTGCCATTGCACTCCAGCCTGGGTAACAAGAGCGAAACTCTGTCTCAAAAAAAAAAAAAAATGGTGAAAGTATTTTTAATTACCTTTTGGATCCAACTTATTTGATGAACCAGCCAATGATGGTTCTGATCATGATGATAAGAGAACTTCTACCCTGCTGTTACTATCCCCATTTTACAGATGGTAAAATAAGGCATTAAGAGACCATAACCTTCCCAAGGCTGCATATCCAGTAAGGGGTGGAGCTGGGATTCAAACCCAAGAAACTTGTCTCCAGGGACCAAACTCTCAACCAGGACATGGAACCTCCTCCAGAATAGGCAAGAAACATGGAGGCTGGAGAGCTGGACACGGCTTTCTCCTGGAGCAGCCACATCCTCACATCTGTGTTTCCTCTTTGGGGGCGTCCCAAATCTTTACACAAAAGAATACGGAATTTGGAATGAGTCAAACTGGGTCAAATCTCAGGTCTGTAGCTTAGTGTGATGTTGGGCAAGCCATCAGTCCCTCTGAACTGCAGTTTCTTCACCTGTAAAGTACACAATTAGCTGGTATTGTTTATGATTCTTGGTAAACCACCAGCATACCTGTTAATTCTCAATGTTGGTCCAATGGAATAACCAACCAAGCCTTTTCAGCCATTTCAACAAGTATATGTTTTATTATGGAAGTAGTGGGGAAAGTTTGAGAATGATCTGGAGGAGAGATTATAGGAGAAACCCCTGCAGATGCTCTCTCAGACGCTCTGGGTACATCCTCCCAAGGCACGGCTCCCACAGACACCTTCCGGCCATGCCTCTGGGCACCCAGGTGCCGTTCCTCAAAGGACCCAGTTCATTACTGTCCACACAGAGAGCTTTCTTCAGAGGTAAGAATGCCTGGGAGATGGAGGCCTTGTGGAGGCTGAGCTGAGATGGAGCAGGCTCACTAGAAAGAACAGCAGGGATCATCCCTAACAAAGGAAAGAAAAGAGAAAGAAATCTGTGCATTGATTTTCATCATGCATTCTCAAACTCCTTGCCTGGTGCCCTCTCTGTCCTCCCCTGCAGGAATCTTTGTGACCCGCCTGAAGCCCACCTCCTCCGTCCCTCAGCCTAGTCCACTCTCCCCTATCACTAGGTTCCACCCACTTTGTCCCTACACCCACCAGGCTGTTCCAGCAGCTGGAACACGCTTCCCTCAGATCTCATGGACCCTAGCTTAGCCCAATCACCAGGGCAACTGTCTCCTCCTCAGAGCAGGGCTCTTTTAGAGACCAGCCAGCGGAAGGAACCGACACACCCCCCCCCCCCCCCCCCCCCCAGTTCCTCACCGTCCCAGCGCCAGGCTGGAGCGAGTGCTGCTGCCCCACCTCCCACTAGAGGGCGAGTCCCACAGGAGCAGGGACTGCCCAGGCCTGCCTGCGCTGCACCCTCAACCTGGTGCCCTGGAGTCACCGCAGGGTTGCAAGAAGAGAACCTTAAAGTTTGCTAATGGGGGCTGGAGTTCCAGAGATGGATCAGGGGTATTTCTTGCTCCCAGAGGGGCTCACACGTCTGTGTGAGCTGGGGCCCTCAAACTGTGTTCCACAGGGCCAACTGCAGCTGCATCCCTTTCAATAAAGTTTCTTTTTTGTAATTGAGGTAAAATGCCCGTAACATAAAATTCACCATTCTAACCATTTTGAAAGTGCACAATTTAGTGGCTTTTACTAAATCTATGCACAAATAGATGTTGTGCCCTTTTCACCTCTAAAAGTGGAACATTTTCATCAACCCAAAAAAGAAATCTCTCAAGCAGTCACTCCCCTTATCCTTCTTCCCCTCAGCCCTGGAAACTACTAATTGACCTTCTCCAAATCTGTATATGTAATATACATGGCATCATATACTGTATGGTCTTTTGCATCTGCTTCTTTTACTCAGCACAAGGTTTTCAAGGTTCAGCCATGTTGTTGCAGGTGCCAGGACCTAATTCCTTTTTTTAGGGCTGAATAATAATCCATGTATGATTGTACCATGTTTTGTTTAGCCAATCGTCGGTTGTTGGGCACAGTCACAGCCATTGGTGTATTCTCTGTGATTGCTTTGACCTCCAACAGCAGAGTAGAATAGTTGCAACAGACACCATATGCCCTGAAAAGCCAACACTTACTATTTGGCCCTTCACAGGGAAAGTTTGCCAACCTCTTGGCTAATGGGTTGGAGGCACACCGTTTTATGAAAATAACTATATGGTTTGACTGGTACTTTAATGTTTGGTTAAAGAGAGCCTGAAAAACCAGTCAGCACCATTCATTTCCCTCAGCAGTCTTCCTCAGTGAAATCTGAAGGATTGTTGAACCAAAGCATTGCTTAGGTGAATCTAGAGGATTTTTCTAGTTAGACACAGATCAAGGGATCAATGCGTCCAGTGGCATATGGAGTGGGGAGAACGTGATATTTTCAGGGAAATCCAAAGTGGTTTAATACAAGGCGGGTATGGTGGCTCATGTCTGTAATACCAGCACTTTGGGTGGCCGAGGCGGATGGATCACCTCAGGACGGGTGTTCAAAACCAGCCTGGCCAAGATGGTGAAACCACGTCTCCAGTAAAAATACCAAAATTAGCTGAGCATGGTGGCATTCGCCTGTAGTCTCAGCTACTTGGGAGGCTGAGGCAGGATAATCACTTGAACCTGGGAGGCCAATGTTACACTGAGCCGAGAGCCTGGGCAACAAGAACGAAACTCTGTCTCAAAAAAAAAAAAAAGTTTAATATGGACAGGGGATGGAATGTGGGACAGAGAAGTGGAGAAAATTTTAGAGAAGCAGGAAAAGTGTGGAGTCTGAGAACCCTTGGGTACCACGCCAGGAAGCTGAACTTGATCAATGGGGCAGAGGCTTCCTGCCATGTTCCCTGAAAACCTGGGATGTTTTAGGAATTCCACAAAGATTTGCTTTGATTTTCATTTCAAAAATGAAACTGTTTCTTAAAATGAGTGTGTACCTAAAATACAGCACATGGACTAAAATTTTTATTCACTGGAGAGCCACACCAACCTGTTGCATGCTTTACATACAGACCTTGGAAAAAACTTTTTATTAACTGAAGGGCATGTAGAGTTTACAAGGCAAACTGTTAGATGACTGTTACCATTTAAGTGACTTATCTCTATGGGTTAAGATTTTTTCTCCATATGAACAATTGAAAGGAAATACTGAAAGATATGGGATAATACAGAGAAGTGTAAGATTGCAAAGGCCTCAGCAGATGAGAATAGTTAGAAGGAAAAAAAAAAAAAAAAGACTGCAAAGGTCTTCAGAGTAAAACGTAAGACCGCAAAGGCCTTCAGAGTTAAACGTGATACCTCAAAGGCCTTCAGAGTGACATAAGACAGCAAAGGCCTTCAGAGTTAAACGTGATACCTCAAAGGCCTTCAGAGTGACATAAGACAGCAAAGGCCTTCAGAGTTAAACATAA